TGCTGTAGTTTTCATTGTGGTAATTAGGTTTTCTTCTCACTTCTTGAATGTCTATATTTGTCTCCTTTTTCATGCTTGGGAAGTTTTCTTCAATTATCTCCTTGAACAATTTCTCAGTTCCTTTGTCTCTCTCCTCACCTTCCGGAATGCCTATAACTCTTATTTTTCCACTTATAGATTCTAATAATTGTCTAAGGGTATTTTCATTCTTCTTCCTTTGCACTTCTCTCTCTTTTTCTCTTTTGGTTCTTTTTATTTCTGTATCTTCAAGAGTATTGATCCATTCTTCCTTTTCCTCGGTTCTGTTTTCAGTGCTTTTCCAAGAGCTCTTTGTCTCCTCCAGTAATCTTTTAGTCTCCTCCTTTTCTTTTATTTCCTTTCTTAAGGTCTCATTTTCTCAGTTCCAGCAGGGAATCAGTTAGTTGGTGATTTTGCGCTAATCACTAGGTGGCGATAGAGACCTATACTTGGGGACCTGTGCTTTTCCCCTGTAGTTCGCTGAGAAACAGAAAGGGGGAGGGGAGCACCTTCACACAGAGGCTATTGCTCATGCTGGGTGCTGTGTCTGCCGGGTGCTGTGCCTGTGTGGATCCTGTATCCTGAATTCTGTGCTCTAGTTCTCAATCTCAAGGTCTCAGATCCAAAATGACTGCTGTCACCCTGTGCAGTGCCCACCGTGGTGCTTACCATGCCCTGGATCCCATGCCTGGCTCTCAGTTCCCGAATGGGGTCTTGCTCCACCCCTTGTTTCCCTTCTTACTCCCATTTGCATGGCCCATCCACTCTCAGAGCCTGATGATGCGAATAGCCAAAGTTCTACTGATGAAAACAAAGGAGAATGGAGGTATCATACTTCCAAACTTCAAGCTATACTACAAAGACAAAATAATAAAAACAGTTTGGTATTGGAACAAAAATAAACACACAGACCAATGGAACGAATAGAGTCCCCAGAAATAAAACCACACTTATATGGACAACTGATCTTTGACAAAGGAGCAAAGAAAATGCAATGGAACATGGACAGTTTGTTCAATAAATGGTGCTGAGAAAACTGGACCACCACATGCAAAAAAATGAAGCTAGACCACTACCTTTCATTATGCAAAAAAAATCAACTCAAAATGGATAAAAGAACTGGACATAAGACTTGAAACCATAAAATGTATAGAAGAAAATATAGGTAAAACACTACAAGACATACATCACAATAACATCTTTGAAGACTCATCACCCCAAGCAAAGAAAGTTGTGGAAAAGATAAACACCTGGGATTACATCAAACTGAAAAGCTTCTGCACAGTGAAAGAGACATTAACCAAAACAGACACCCCAATGATTGGGAAAAAAATCTTTGCACTCCAATCAAAGGACTGGATAAGGGACTGATCACAAAGATATACACAGAACTCACAGCACTCAACAAAAAACAAAATAAACAATCTAGTCAAGAAATGGGCAGAAGAACTTAACAGACATTTCTCCAAAGAGGAAATGCAAGTGGCCAACAGGCATATGAAAAAATGTTCAACATTACTTATCAGGGAAATACAAATTAAAACCACATTGAGATACCACCTTACACCAGTAAGAATGGTACATGTCAAAAAAACAACAACAAATGTTGGTGAGGATGTGGTGTAAAAGGAACTCTCCTACATTGCTGGTGGGAGTGCAAACTGGCTCAACCATTATGGAAAGCTGTCTGGAGGTTCCTCAGTCTACTAAAAATGGAGCTATCATATGACCCAGCAATTCCACTACTAGGGACACAAAAGGACCCAAAGGACACAAAAACAATGATTCAAAAGAAGACCTGTGCACCTATGTTTATTGCAGCACTATTTGCAATAGGTAAAACCTGGAAACAACCCAAATGCCCAAAAATAGATGACTGGATCAAGAAGATGTGGTATATATACACAATGGAATATTATTCAGCAATCAAAAAAGATAAACTCATGCCATTTGCAGCAACGTGGATAGAGCTAGAAGGAATTATGCTCAGTGTAATAAGCCAGAAGGAAAAAGAAAAATATCAGATGGTTTCACTTATAGCAGGAATATAGGGGAACCAAATAAGACAGCAGTGTAAAAAAAATAACAGTACAAAACACAACAAAGCAAAAACGGACAATTATATATCAGAGACATACTTCAGGGGAGGAGGAGGGAGAGGGATCAGAGGAAGGAAAGGAGGAGCACAGGGGACTGAGGTGATGGTGCACGGGTGCATTGGTGAAGGAAACTCTATGGGGACTACACCTGAGGGGGTAAGGGGGAAGCAAATATTGTTTAAAAATTAACAATGATGTAAAAAATTTAAAAAATTAAAAATATATAAAATAAAATGAGATACTAAAAAAGAAAAAATGACTGTACATTTCTGTACATTTTCCTGCTTACTATTATTGGTTCTGTCTAAATATTTTATAAGTTTAATTAAGATGATCTCTTTGATCTATGAATTATTTGAAAGTGTGTTTAAGTATGGGGACAGTTTTATTAATCTTTCTGCTGATCTCTAATTTTCCTGCTTGTAATTAAAGAACACAATCTTTAAATATCCATTTTGCAGGATTTGTTGGGGTTTTGTGAACTAGAATTTGGCAATTTTTTTTAGAGCACTGCATGTTAAATTCAGAATAATGTTTTTCAAATTGTGTTCTTTAGTCCATTTTTCCCAACTTTTTTTGTCCCAAGAAAAAGTTGAGTTTAATCTATCAGATTTGTTTTGTGTAATATGAAGTTATGTCATCAGTTGTTCCACAGAGTCAGGATTTTTGTCTCTGCCTACTGAGGTGTGCTTTGTGTTAAGATGAAAATGATCCTCTATTTCTAATAATACTTTCTACCTCCATGGCTTTTTTGTCTAATATTGTTTTAGCTTTCTTTTGATGAGCATTTCTTTTGTATATAATTTTTAATATGTTATTTTCATATTTTCTTATCATTTTAATCTACTCTGAGATTCTTTCTTTTGTAACAGTATATTTATATTCATATGATAATTGATATATTGAAATTTATTTATGCCATTTTATTTTGTGCTTTATTTTTGACCACTTCTTACTTCTCCATCCTCTCCTTTTCTGTCTCCTATAGAATGGGTAGATTTTTAAAATTCTCTTTTCTCCTTTAACTATCATGATTTTACATAATAGTGGATGTCTTTTTTTTTTCAGCTTTATTAAGGTACAACTGACAAATAATATTGTAACATCTTTAAAGTGTAAGATGTAATGGCTTGAATTAGGTATACAATGTGAAAGAATTCCCACAGTCAATTAATTAACATAGCACTCACCTCATCTATTACAGTGGATATCTTAATATTTACAATGAGCATTTTTGACTTAACTGTGTATCAAACTAATTACTATTCTACCGACATCCTGAAAAAGATAAGGAATTAACCTGCTCTAACACTGAGAGCTCCTGTTGTCTCTCATGCTATTATTGCCTACCATCTCATTCCTTTTTTCTGGGATCAATTTCTTTACTCCTGTGTTTATAATTTTTCTTTCTAACAGTCTTTGTAAGCACTTTTTGCCTCATCCTTACCTTGGCTTGATAATTTAGCCAGATATAAAATTTAAGAATGATAGTTATTTCCCCTGCTACTTTGAAGATTCAGTTAACTTTAGGGTTCATTTTTTGCTGATGAGAAATATTTTGTAATGTAATTATCATTTCTTTGGAAGTTACATTTATTTTGTCTTGGGCTGCTTCTAAGACTTTGTGTTTGGGGTTCTGCAGTTTTATTACAGCACATGTAGATTTGATTGTGCTTTTTCCCAGTTTGATTAAGGTATAGTTTACCTATATCACTGTACTTGTTTAAGGTACACAACATCATGGTTTTACTTACACATACTGTGAAATGATTGCCATAGAAACTTTTGTTAGCATCCATTATCTTATGTAAATATAATAAAAAACCATAGGGAGAAAATAATATTTTCTTGTGATGAGAACTCTTAGGATCTATCTACTCTCTTAACTTTCCTATATAATACAGAACAGGGATAACTATTGTGATGTTATAGGTATACATCTCTAGTATGCATTTATCTTATAACTGGAAGTTTGTACGTTTTGGTCATCTTATAATTCCCTACCTCCTACCTCTGGTAACTGTAGGACTGTTCTCTTTTTTCTATGAGGTGGTTGTTGTTGTTGTTGTGTATGTGTGTGTGTGTGTGTGTGTGTGTGTGTTTAGATTCCACATATGTGAAATCATAGAATAGTTGTCTTTCTCTGTCCATGTCATTTGGCAGAATGCCTTCAAGTTCTTTTCTATGCTGTTGCAAATAGCAGGATTTTTTCATTTTTATGACTGGATATTCCAATGTATTTATACTACAATTTCTTTGTCCGTACATTGGTTGATGGCCACTTAGGTTTTTCCCATATCTTGGCTATTGTGAGTAATGCTGTAATCAACATGGGGGTACAGCTATCTTTTTAAGTCAATATTTTCATTTCCTTTGGATATATTCCCAGAAGAGAAATTATATACATATGGTTGTTCTATTTTTTGTTTTTTGAGATATTTCCATATAATTTTCCATAGTGGCTGCACTACTTTACAATTTGATGTATTTTTATTCACCTTGGTCAGTATGTGTCATTTTTAAATATAAGGTTTCAAAACATTAATTCTGGAAAGTTTACAGACACTAGCTCTTCAAATATTACCTCTTCCCCATTCTCTCCTGGATACTGGATTAAGAAAGCCACAAATTGTTGTTTCTCTTAGAGAGGAAATCTAATTCATTTCCTTTCGAATATATGCTAGACTCAGAGACTTATATGACATATAGAATGCGGTGGAAATAATGTTCTAGAATTTCCAAACTAGATCATAAGAATTTTGCAGATTGTCCTAGGAGTTTAGAGCATTTTCACTGAGAATTGTGAGCCTCTATGAAAGAAGTCTGCCTACTCTGAGATCACTATGCCAGAGAATTCATGTAGTTCAAATATTGGCATGATAGTTGACAGTCTCAGCTGAACTCTTCCTTTTAACCATCTATATCAAAGGACAAGATAGGTGAGTGAAACCTCCAGACCACAGTCAACACCATGTGAAACATCAATATCACCCAGATGAGCAAATACTAAGTAAATTACAAAATATTTTTAAATTTTTATCTCATTTTCAGTGACATTCTTTTTCTTTGAAATTTTTATGGCACCAGAATAGTTATCACTTTCTTGTCATATACCACAGGGCATCATTAGTAGTGAGCTAATATTTATATTCATTCCAGGCCCACGTGGGCAGGGTAAAACTGAATTTCAAACTCAAATGAAGCAGATTTTAAACTAAAATTCTTTCACCTAGAACTCAGGCAGAGACAAATAATTGTCAATGTGCAGGTGTGTGGATCTTTGTTTTTCTAGTTCACATACTTTGTTTTTAGCAACAATAAAAAAAATCTCTGTGCACAAATTTTAATTCTAAGTCTGTCTCACCAGAAACCCAGTGTTCTTCTTCCATTTACTACATAGATGTTAAAAGCAAACTTTTATGTTATCAGGATGATAAAAAATATATTCCAGGTGAACTGCTGGTCAGATCACACACTTAACTGTTATCTTTATGTTCTTCTTCAGTTCATTCCTCATTTCTGGAGCTGGGACTTTCCCTTTCTTTATTGAAAGCTTAGCTATACATTACTTTTTTTATTGTTATACTTTGTAAAACATTTCTAAGTGTTTGTAACAGATCCATATATTACTGGAATATGTGTTTTTCTATCTTTAGCTGAAAGTCTGAGCTTTCTTTCTCCTCCACTCTTCTTTGGAAAATTTTTTGAAAAAAAATTTTTTTGGCTAATAAACTTTTCATGATTTTACCATATATAGTCACCCTGAAAGATGAGGAAATTAATGCACTTTCAAAACATCCAACATTATTCTTATTTATTTTCCATTATTTTCCATGAACTGGTACATTCTTTCCCAGATTTATTGCACCAATTTATTTTATATTTAGGTAGCAATTTTTAAAGAAAATGTAACATTTATATTGTAGAATTCTATTAGTTATATTCCATTCTAATATAAAAATAACCTATTACTCATCTGAGTATGTTACAATAAAGAATTCTTCATGTGAGTTCCTTATTTTGATGCATGTTTTATGATTTTTTCAAAGATGTATTATTATTCTGAGTCCTAAAATATTTGAAAATTTCCTATGTAAAATTATTTGCTTTCACTTATGAAAACTGTCCTAGCTGAGTACAGAATTTTGAGGTCACGTATTTCCTGCCCCTAAATACTGTAAATATGATTTTGTTCCTTTTTGAACCAATTATATTGAAATAAATTCAGAAGCAAGATTAATTTTTACCTGTTTCTTTTGTCTGGATGCGTTTAGGATTCTTTCATTGTCTTTGAATAATTTCTGCAAAATAACAAATCACAACATTAGTTGTTTTCTATTAAATTTCTCTGGAACACAATGACTTTGGAAAATGAAACTCAACATAGCTGCCGATTCACTTATATCAGGAACATTTTATTCTATCATATACTTATTATACTTGTTAAACATTTTTAATATTTCATTTTTATTTTAAAAAAACCTAATAGGCACATGCTATATTTCCACTATCTTTGATACATACAGTTCTTGTCCTAATCAATGTATTTTTCTTGTCCCTTTGTGTTTTCTGCAATTGTCATTAGCCCAAATCTATGACTGATTCAGATTTCTGCCATCTTAATTCTGTCCCTTAAATGTCTAAGACAGTTGTAAGTTCTACAATTTTTTTGTTTTGTTTTTCACTATCATCAGCCATCAATTTATAACATTGCTTTGCTCTCTCTGCTTTCAATTCCTATTTCTCCTTTGGGTTCTTCCATCATAAAGTTTATAATATATTTAATTTCCTGGGGTGTATAAAGTGATTGTTATTTAAATATTCTGTTTCCTGGAATAAGTCTTATTCCAATTTATAGATTTTATTTTCATTTTTATTGGTTACATTCCTTAATCAATAATTTGTAGATCTTTTGCATATTATTTTCTGCTACTTCCCATGAATGTTGTGAATAGAAAAATCTTTTTATATTTACCTACTTACTGAAGCCTAGTTTTGCAGTAAGGATTTGCTACTGGAAACAGTTACTTGGTTATCTACTTAAAGTTTAAATTGTATGGAATAAAGGGATAGGGAAGAGAAGATGAGAAAAGAAATATGGCAGATTTGGATATGAGAACTCTGCCCTGAACTCCTAGCTCCAAATCTGTTGAAACAACTGGAATTCTGCCTGGACCTGCAAATTCTGCAATTAGGTAAAATGCTCTGGGACATACATACTCTTTTAGTATAAAAACCAAAGGCTCAAGGACCTTTCGATTATTTAATATGTAGGATAGGTGCTCACCTTTCTTTGACTTAGCTACAATATTCTCTTATAACATCTCCTCTCAAGGTTAGCATTAACTCTAGGGCATAATTTTTGAATGGACTCATTGGAAACAGAAATACTGGTTATCATCTCTCTTAAATCTGCAACTGTGGTCATCCGCACAGGTTGCTAGTCACTTTTGTTGTGATCTACTCCCAGCCTTAGTTATTCCAAACTGGGTAGTAGTGGAGCCTTCAAAAAATTTTTCATTTTTTCTCACATAAATTTAAGATCATAAATAGGAGAGATGAGACTTGAACTTGGCATTCTTGTCCAATAGGTTCACTTTAACAGGCATTCCTGGGAGTTTATAGTTTCAGGATAAATGGTATCCATTTCTCATTTAGTCCTTTATGATCTTCCAAGTGGACTTCAGGGACAGGAATTTTAGAAGTTTGAGTATTCTATACATTAAAAATCTGCTTTAAAATGTGAACAATCACCTTTTTTTTGTTCTGTAATTTGAGTTATACTGCAAGTTGGATTTCTAATATATATAAGACACTATGGTATTTGTATATCATCCTAGGTGGGTTTTTTCCATACTGTAGGGTCCCTCTTCCCTGTCTCCCTCCACACCTCCTCTTAACCTCAGAGCCCTATTAATGTCCACTGGCTTTTGTGAATATTTTACTTTGTCAAATCATGCTAAATTATGTAAATGTTCAGTATTTAGTATTTGTTTTTGTCATTTTTACTTTCTTTATTATACAAAATTCCCTCAAATTCCCTCCATTTTGCTGTAAATGGTGCATTTCAACTTTCCTTCTGGATGAATAGAATTCCATAGTATGGGTATGCCATGCTTTGACCCAGTCATCTAATGTTGGGCATTTTGGCTGCTTTTCCATGTCCTAGTTATTGTAAACAGTGGTGCAACAAACATTTCATGGCACATAGTTTTTTTTTTTTTTTTTTTAATAGAGGCATGTTTATTTATTTATTTATTTGTTTGTTTTGTCTGTTTGTTTGTTTATATATGCACTGGTACAGTCAGAAGCGTGGGAGGGTGAGAGAATTCACCAGAGCCAGAGCGGGGAGCTGAGCAGGCAGAAGGACCGAAGTACACTGCTGAGGGGAGCAGCGGGCGGCAGGAGAGGTCTGCGCGCCATGCGGGACCCTCCTCCGGTGGCCGGGGAGCAGCCGGGGATTGAACCGGTGCCGCAGAGGCCGCGGGCAGCTTCACAACCCAGCACTCAACCGCTGCGCCACCGGGGAGGCCCTGCATTAATGGTTTTATGGTCTTTGTGTAGATGCCCAAGAGTGGGATTACTAGATAAGGCAGTATTTCCATTTTCAGTTTTTTCAGATGAATCAAGATCACTTTCCATAATGGCTGCACCATTTGACATTTCCACCCACAATCGGTATAAGAGGGCTCCTCTTTCTCTACATCCTTCCCAGCACTTGTTTTCAAGGGTGTTTTTTTTTTAACTTATGCCATTCTTCTGGGTGTAAGATGGTATCTTTGTGTTTTTTTCCTGCACCTCTCTTGTTGGAAGTGATGCTGAATATTTTTTCACATATTTATTGACGTTCTGGCTATCCTCTTTGGTAAATTGTCTGTTCACATTTGTTGCCCATTTATTAATTGGGTGGGATGTTTTTCTATTGTTGAATTATATACGTTTTTATATTTCTTGGATCTTAACCCCTTGTTAATTACATCTCTCTCTCTCTCTCTCTCTCTCTCTCTCTATATATATATATATATATATATATACAGCCATTTAAGAGCTTTTTAACTTGATATACTCCAAGTTTTTTATTTTTATTTCTCTTTCCAAAGAGCTCAAATCTTCAAAAAAACCATCTTTATCACTGCTGTCATGGAACCCATTACCAATTTTGTCTTCTAAATATTTTCTTATTTCAGGTCTTACAGTTAAATCTTCAATTCACTTGGAATTTATGTTTGTGTATATAGTCAGAGAGTGATTCAATCTCTTTTTTATAGGTGATCTTCCAGTTTTCCCAGAACCATTTATTAAAGATACTCCTTTCTCTACTGTATGGTTGTAGCTGATTTATCATAGATTAATACTGATATGTGGGTGGATTTATTTTTAGGCCTTTGATTTTGTTCCACTGATCCATGTATCAGTTTTTGTGCCAATACCATATTGTTTTTAATACTGTTGCTTTAAAGTTTCCAAGTCAGGTAAAGTGATTCCTCCATTTCTCTCTTTTCTTAGAATTGATTTTTTTTTTTTTTTTATAAAAGCCGTTCTTTTTTTTTTTTTTAAAGATTTATTTATTTATTTATACAAGCACTGGGTACAGTCAGAAGCGCTGGAGGGTGAGAGAATTCACCAGAGCAGGGAGCAGAACAGGCAGAAGGACCGAAGTACACTGCTGAGGGGAGCAGCGGGCGGCAGGAGAGGTCTGCGCACCATGTGGGACCCTCCTCCGGTGGCCGGGGAGCAGCCGGGGATCGAACCTGCACTGGGCCGCGGGCAGCTTCGCAACCCAGCGCTCAACCGCTGCGCCACCGGGGAGGCCCCAGAATTGATTTTGTTATTTACTAGGTATTGATTGTATCTTTTAAGTTAAAAGACTTTATACATGAACTTGCTTCAATTTTTTATATTCAATTAGAAATGGGCAAAAACATCTAATAAAACATATTTGAAAATACACCCCTATGGAGGGTTGTTGAGCTTTAAAGTTATTTATACTTTTATTTCTATCCCATGATTTATTGAGAATATGCAGCCTTGGCTATACAATCATTATGAATTTTCTCCCCAAGGAATAGTTTACTATTTATAAATGTGGTATTGTCCTGCAGTCCTTTACAAAACCCTAAAACCAATCAAGTAGTCTGGAGACAATGGCAACCATTCTTTCTAGAAGGTAAACTTATTACCCAAATGAAGGAAGTGATTTTAGGTTCATAAATTTCCTTTGTTTCTGAGAGAATTTCTACCTTTCCCCTATAGTGAGAGTTCCTACTGGTGTACACCAGGGAATATTATAACACTTGGTAGCTGGTATTCTTCACAAATTCATGCATATTGAAATGTTTAAAATTGTACACCAAGAAATGAGAAACTGCAACATCCAGGGAGAATTTCAATTACTTGGACAGTTTATATATATCAAAATGTCCCAATCATTTTTAAAAAATGTTATTTTATGATGATAAGGGTATTTGTGATGATAAATAAAGTATAACAAAGGCAAAATGAAAGGAATGACAGGCCAATGCTGGGCAGACTGGCTGCGAGAGGCAGGTTCATGCATCAGCTGGAGGTTTTGCACAGCAGCCTGAGTTTCTGTTTTGATCCTAAGTCTTAGCAATATCTCACATTACTGCATGGCACAGATCTTTAGGGTTGCTGGTCAAACATGTTAACATGAAGTTATCAAAAGCACACTTTTCCAGTGTTGGTGCTATGATTGATAATATCAAAGCAATCATGTTTTTGTCAGGTTCTTTTATCTTTCAAAAATAAGCAAGGCAATTCATATTTTAACAACCCACTTTTTCAGTTACAAAGCTTATGCTTCCTTCCTGTCGAATTTTAACACTTGGTTCAGAATTCCCAAATTTACACTTGGTTTTCCAATTAAAATGGACTTTTGTGAATCCCCTGCTGATAGCCACCGGCTTGATAAAAAGTAACTTCATTTTCAGCAAGGATGTTTAGGGAGCCCAGTGCAAGGCTGACTCCTCTGCTATTGCCTTGAGCCCAGCTGTGCTGAAATATTAAACTTTAGTAAATTAGGTGAAATTGCAGCTTCCTGGCTGATACAATAATGCCCCTTTCTTTTTCTGCAAAGCAACTTCAGTCTGAGTTGTCTGCTCAGTTCTTCTGTTCTAAGAGAGGAAATATTCACACTATTTCCCCAAATCTACACAACTTTTTCATTTTCAGGTAATTGTGCCATCTCCTGCTTATCTAGCTGAATGCTTAAACTTTCAGACAGATAGAAATGAATCACTTTATTATTTTAGCTCTGTCTGATATTGCATTACTGTATCACACCACACTCAGATAATCATCTGGACCGTAAACATGTCAGTCTTATGTACCGGTAACAACTTTAACTTTTATTGATTAGTTCATATTTTAACAGGAATAGTTGCACTTTGGAAGGAAATGCTATTTCCAGACACATTTATTTTCAGATTTTTGCACCTTTTTGTCCTGAAAATAACACTGGTTAGAAAGTATGTTATTCATTGGCCAAATATCTATTTAGCAATTACTTTGTTTAAAGTTTCAGTTTATTTTCCACCAAAAATTTTTAATTAAAATAAATGCAGAATTAGCAAAAAGGAGCTGCACAGCCTTATATTTCTCTTCTTGAGATGCTATTTTTTTCTGTGAGGAAATCACTGAGTAACAACTTTATTGAGTAGTTCAGCCTACTGGCTTTCTCCTAGATCCTCCACTGGTCTTTCAGATTAGTACCTTATATCCTAGAAGACTCTAGTTGAAATATATTTTGTTATTTGAGAAAATGGACTGATAAAAACCTTTTCAAGTTTAAGCCTTTTCTCAGTACCTTTATAAAGGAGCTAGCAAGATGATTAGGTCCAAAGGTTGCTTTTGCAGTTACAAAAGGAAATAGTTTAATGAGCCCCGTAGAACCATGATGAGATTTATGGTTTTACTAACGTTTCCAGAGTTAGGGACAAAACCTAGAGCGATTGCACAGTGAGGCCTTGGGCACTGTGTGGGCCAGGTGAGGACAGCACTGAAAGATGAGAGACTCCCCAAATAATTGGGAAGTCAGACTATGCCATGAGATCGCTCTCCTGCCATAAACGAGATACTTACTGATAAACGAATCTGATGTAGACCAAGATGATTTAGACCAGGGGGTTTGAACCTTTTCTGAAAAGGGACAGATAATAAATACTTCAGGCATTTTGGGCCATAGGATTCTGTCACCCCTACACAACTCAACTCTTGTACCTTAAAAACAGCTTTAGATAAGACAACCCTATATAGCCCTTTGATAATACAAAGGAATGGGCATTGAGGGGTTCCAAGATAACTATTTACAAAAACGGCAGGGGCTGAATTGGGGCTGTAGGAGGTAGTTTGCAGACCCCACTCGCTGTCCCTCTAATCTGCCTGTAAGCAAAAGGTTATTGGCTTCTATTCGGTACAGTGAACACAACTGCCAAGTTCCCAGCAGCCTTTATGCGTGGGATGATCAGCAGAGCGACTAAACAGTTTTAAAACTTTTTGACATGGGCCCTTTCCGTCTTCGCTTCCGCCCCCCCAAGTCCTGGCTCTCGGCCTCAGGGGCGCGCGCGCGGAGCTGTCGGTACCTGGTTGGGAGGCGTGGGCTCGGGCGCAGAGCACGCGGGCACTCGGGAGAAGGTGAGGGCGTACAAAAGTTGGAATCCAATCAGCAGGAGTCGAGCTCCGGAGCCCCAACCTTCAGGTGACCCCGCGCGGCAGCGGCAGCGCCAGCAGCGCGGCCACCAGAGCCCGCGGCAGTTCGGGGCGCCTCGGGCAGAAGAGGCGGCGAGCGCCGCGCATCGTCGCTGCCATCCGGAGCCCGGTTCGGCGGGCCAGGGCCGGGCGGGAGAGCCAGGACGCGGCTCCTGCTTTGGCCCCAAAGCCGCGCCGGCTGGGCCGGGGGCGCCCGAGAGTGCGGGCCGCGCCGCGCGCCGTGGTCGCCCCCCGCGGCTGCCCTGGAAGTGTGCGTGGCTGTGGCTGCCGCGGCGGGGGCCGCCAGTCGGGGCCGCTCTGGCTGCGCTTCGCCGGGGCGGCGGCGACTGCGACGGCGCCTGTGGCTCAGGATGCGGCCGGGGGGCGCGCTGCTGGTTCTGCTCGCCTGCCTGCTGCTGCTGCTGCTGCTGCGTCTGCTCTGGGGCTCGGCCGACGCGCCCGCCCGCTCCAGGTAACGCGCTCGCTGGACTCCCGCCGACCCGCCGGTTCCAGACACCCCCAGCCGGCTCGCGGGGTCCGCGCGGGCTCCCGGCGGCGCGCCCCAGCTGCCCAGCCGGCCGCTCGCTGGACTTGGGCGCGTAGACTTTTGGCCGCAGCGAGACAAGCCGACGGGGTGCAGCGGCCTGAGGGTGGAGTGGGATGGGGCGTCCTGGAGGCTAGGAGGGCTGGTGGAGGGTGTGGGAGAGGCGACACTCGGGGCGGGGCCAAGTGTCCGGGGGTCTGGCTAGGGTTGCTAGGGCTCCAGCGGGCAGCTGCGGAACAGGACTTGGTGTCGGGTTCCGAGTAAGTGTTCAGGGCTCCCCACATTGTGGTCGGTGCCTTTCCTTCCTTCCCGCCCGAAGCCTCTTCAAACTCCGGGCTTAGGATGCTGCCCGGGAGCCAGGGCGCGCGAGGATGTCCCGGCCAGGCTGAGAGCGCGAAGCTGAGCCTGCCAGACAGCTGCTCCCCGCGAGCTGTAACAACTTAGTTTTCCTCCTGGCTGTGCAGGCTCTTGGTGGAGGAAGGCAAAGAAGCCACTCATGGCACCCCTGCAGCGCTGAGGACGCTCCGGAGCCCGGCGACCCCGCTATGGCGCACCTGGAGCAGGTACCCGTGGCCCCGGGCGGTGGGCGGCAGGGGACTCTGGCTTCGGACCAGGGAAGCGGAGTGGCTGTGCCCGCAGGGCTTGCTTCGAGCTAGAACCACACGATTAAGTGGATTTGAGCGAGCGAGCGAGCGAGCGAGAGCGAGAGCGAGAGCGAGAGAGCGCGCTTGTATGCGTGTGTGTGCCTGTGTGTGTGTGTGTGTGTGTGTGTGTGTTTGTGTAAGTGGGAAGGTGTGCACGTGCGCGCATGTAAACGCCTCACACTCCCTCAACCTTCCCTTTAAAGCCTATTCCTCCATTGGATGCTATTCCAACCAAGGAAGATAGTAAAGCAGCTGTACTTTAAAAAATGGGTGCTGGGTTCCCCTCTTGATAATGCGCTATTGAAAACCCCGGAGAGAAGCAGCTCAGCCTGTCTTTATTCAGGGATTTAGTTGGCTTGCTTTTGTTTTCTGTGCTTTAAGGTGCACCGGTGTAAGATGCTCATTTGGGAGAATGCAATTCTGTGCACAGTGTTGAGAATGTTTTTCATCTTAGTGTATGGAGACTTAATTTTTTTCTTTCTAACTCGGAAGACTATCCAGGTAAAATAATTACTTGGTTTTGATCTTTTTTTCTGATTATAAAAGTAACATGCTTAGTGCAGAAAGTCAGGTAACATGGGAAATATATTAGGAAAAAACCCAAAACTCCCAGAGTCTCACCACTCAGAGATCCGATTAAAGTGGGGGTCTATATTCTTCCTGAAGACATGTTTTAAGATATACTTAAAGCTATATTTGTAATTTGTATTCTGCCCCCCATTCATATGCACATATATGTCATTAAATTTTTCCCAAAACATTGCTTTTGATTGTTGCATACTTCATCAAATGAATGTACCTTTCCATTTTCATTTGATTTGATTTTACATTCCACCTTCATCCTTGCAATAAATCTTTATCTTTATTCTAAATTAATTCTCCAAAATGGACTGACAGAAATTGTATTGTTAGGTTAAAGCATATGCTTTGGGTTCTACATACTTATGGCTGATTGCTTCCTGGAAGAGTTGAGTCCAGCAGAATGTACTGCTTTATCCCTCAGCATTGTATTGCAATATTGTAAGTGGTCTCTTTTCCTCTATCCCGGAGAAATCCTGGAGGAACAAAACCTTAAAAAAAAAGTTTTATGTTATGCAGAGTTATGTGTATATTAGCCTAACTTTCCAGTGAGTGGAGAACTTTCCATCTTTTTCAAACCTCTGGGCCCAGTGCACATTCTAGGGTAGCTCTGTGGGGAAAGTTTGAAAAAATGTGCTAATTAAATGATCTGGTCCTAGGCCTTTTATGAAGTAATTCTTTGATGAATTTTTCAGTTTCTTTTGACATATTCTTTTCTACTGGGCGTACTGCTTGAGCTAATATAAGCAATACATATATTTTTCAGCATGTGGTCCATTTTATTACAATATGTAATATTTATTCCATTCCTTTATGCTTTTTAAAAGAAATCTTAAATATGTTTAAAAATATTTCTTTTAAAAACATTTCTTTCTGCTTTTTATCACTTTTATCATTTATGATTTTGTTTTATAGCAGGGGTGCAAATTTTAATCCATACTATTTGATTATATAAAGAAATAGTAATTAACTTTTCAAATAGTTGAGTTGATTGTCCTCCATGAACCTCATACTCCAGGTAATAGATACAAGTGATAATATGATATGATTGATATAAAATATAATATAATATAATATAATATAATATAATGATAATAGTAATAAAAATAGCCAGTACTTATTAAATCCTTCTTATGGGCCAAACTGACCTAATCAGAAAAAATATTATGCTTATTTTATAATGGAGGAAACTGAGACACAGAGAGGTGAGTTAATTGCCCAATGTTATAGTTAACACATCATGGCGCCAAGACTCAGACCTAGGCTATGTGTGCCGAGAATCCAAAATTCTTCATCTTCCTGCTGTGTAGCCTTTATCAGTGCTGGGCAAGAAGGGGTGTGAGTGTGTGTGTGTGTGTGTGTGTGTGTTCCCAGTCAGGTTAAAACTTAGTCAGATGTGACAGACAATTTAAGGAACTGTTTTTGGTAGTATTTCGTATTTTGAGAAATAATTGTCTTTCAGATTGCTTTCACAATCCCTTCTTACTCTAAGATGATAGCCAGGTGGAAGGACAGGAGCTTAGATGCAGTTGTAGAGTCAAGAGTTGGGCTTTTTGATCCTGCTACCTTTGACTCCTCTGATTTCATTGGTGATGTTCATTTGCCATCTGATGACTGCTTACCCTGTTGACAGCCAATTTTGAAAACTGCAGCTTGTGGCTTATTCTCTCTCCTCAGACTGTCTACCTCCTAGTACTCCCCTTCCATGGTCTTGACCTCATCTGAGCTCCCACTGTTGCTACCTTTTAGGGATCTGTAGAGATTCCTTTTTTTTTTTTTTTTTTTTGATTTTCACCCTGCAACACCGTGCAACCTAAAATGCTATCTCATTCAGTTCTGGTTAGACACCTGCACAGATAGTCTCCCAGCTATTTCTGGGACCCATCTAAACATGTGGGGCCTCCCTGGTGGCTCAGGGATTAAAATCTCAGAACTATTAAGCTATCATCAGCCACTGTGGGATGAGTTTGATCCCCGGCCAGGGAGCTAACCCACATGGCGCAGCAGCCCTCTCCTCTCACACCTGCTGCTCCCCTCAGCAGTGTATTTCAGTAGATCTGCCTGTTTTGCTCCCAACTCTGTCTCTGGTGAATCCTCTCACCTCCCCACACTTCTGGCCTGTACCCCAGTTCTTGTATGCATAAACAAATAAAAATAAATCTTTAAAAAATCAATAAACATCCAAGGACTAAAGATGGTTCAGGAAACTAAATATCAAGACCTCCTGTACTAACCCCAGGAAGTGAATGTGATCCTGTTCTAAGTTAACATCAAGATGGAAATTGTCCAAGAGATGATCTATTTTCAGAGTCCTAATTGGGAGAGGAAGCAAAGCCCCCACTAAACTTAACGTTACCCTAATTTTTCTCTCTCCAAGTCAGAGCTAGCCTCATCCTCTCTTTTGTTTCTACCCTTTCTCTAGGCTGGAAATATACAGGCATCCCTCTGCCTCATGTTTCCTTTTGTCCTGTCTCAAACCTCCAATCCTGACTCAAATGCCTTCATGGTAGATTGTGGACACCAAGAATGAAGGATTGGGAAAGCTCCAGGAGTTGTGTTTTCTAGGTGAAGTGGTTAATGTGCTAAAGAGAGGAATGAGAGGAATTTGGAAAACTTTAGAGCTACAGCAAAGCCTATTTTGCTTGTCTAAAGCTGAACATTACCTTATATTTTCTCTGCATTCTTTCTTAATAAAAAATCTATCTATTCAATACTTCTCCAAAGGATGCTTCAGCCTAATTACAGGAAATTCATGTCAAAGTCAGAAAGACAAAAGAGATAAATATGCTAAAAATTTTCCAAACATGGCTCCCATTACAATGGATTCTTTCTCTTTCCAATAAGCTTTGTTAAAGTCAGTCATCAGTTTTCTTGATTTTCAAACAACCAGCTCTTGAATTTATTTCTCAGTTCTGATACATTTCCATGTGTGATTTCCTTTCTTTTTTTTTTGTATTTTTTAAAAAAAAATATTATTGAGGTAACATTGGTTTAAAACACTGTATGTGATTCAAGGGTATAGCATTGCACCTCTTCAGATGCATGTTACCATACCACACCCACCACCAAGGTACCCTCAGCCCTCTAGTCTAGTCCTTCTTTGTTTTTCTCTTCCTGTCTCAGCCTCAATTCCATAATTAGATCTCTAGGACTTGTTATTGGTTTGATTTTGTCTGACTCTGTTTTGTTTCTTCTACAAATAAGTGAATCCATCTGGTATTTGGTTTTCATCTTATGATTTTGTGTTACTTTCATCTTTTAAAATATAATTTTTTCGAATTAATGCCTTCAAGTAAATGCCTGGTTTATTTGTTTTCCCTTTTTCTTTGTAACAAAAATATTTACTATGAATTTTCTTTTTATGCAGCTTTGGACTTGTTCCTTAAATTTGGCTACATAGTGTTCTGATTTGTAAAAATGTATTTTAAATTATTTATGATTACATTTATATTATGCATATGAGAACTAGGTATAAGCCAGAAGCATAGGGGATGAGTAGATTCACCAGAGGCAGAGTGGGGAATAGAACAGGCAGACTGACTGAAATATGCTGCTGTGGCAAGTAGCAGGTAAGCAGGAGAGGTCTGCTGCGCCATGTGGGTCACCTCCCTGGTTGGGGATCAACTTATGCTGCAGAGGGTGTGGACAGCTTCATAGTGCTGTGACTTAACCCCTTGTACCACCACGGAGACCCTACACTTAAAAAAATTTATCTCCATAAATACTTAGAAGATGACTTTTAAATTTCCAAGGAGTTGGCTTTTTCCTTAAATATTAAATTTTGATTATAAAAGAAACTCAATAAAATCACATCATAATGTCATAGATTGAGTTCCCAAATATTCAATCATTAGAAGTAAGAGGTTGCATTATTGTGAGATTGATGACAATGTAACTAGAGAAAGTCAGTTAATGTAATTGCTTTAAAGTTCTAGAATTTTTCCATGGGAATATCCTAAGTCCTGGTTGTGGTTTCACATTAATAGTGGCAGTGTCCATAGTGACAATAGGGATCCTTTGACTGCCTGGAACTTTCTGATAGTAGCAGCTTTTTCTTTTTCTTTCTTCTTTATCTTCTTCTTCTTCTTTTTTTTTTTGGTGTCTTAATTATTTGGTGGCTATTTGATTGACCATCTGAGATAATTGGATTATGAGTTGACCACAGATATGAGAGCCCACCTCTACTTCTCTGCTTTCTTAGAGAGGTTTGTCTGCTATTTTCTTTCACAGTCTTTCTTTTCCCTCCCTTTTACCCTGCAGTAAAGTTTGACTTGTACATATTTGAGAATTGGTGCTTGTGGAGGGCAAACATTAGTCAATTGTCTTATATCACAACTCAC